TTGAATTAAAATATAAATTATAAATAGATAAATTTAAAGTAGTTTTATTTAACTATTAAAAAGAAGTACAAACAACAATTTATGATAGTGACACCTTAGATTTAGAATTAATATAATTATTTCTTATTATTAGAATATTTTGTAAGATTTGCGGGGTTAGCGACATATGAAAATCACTGGCAATAAGCTTCAGCCCAAAAACTGAATTCTCCATGAAATATACATACAAATTCATAGGGCACTTGAAAATTTAATATTTTTTTATACGGGTTATGGGTTAAAAACCAAAATTTAATTTCGGTTTTGGGTGTTAGGGGTTATATGTCATTAAAATCAATCGGGTTATATAGGTTTACGGTTTTCATCATTTTTTCGGGTTTTTTAAGGGTTTTGGCTGTACGGGCTAAACGGGTGCAAGGCCTTGATTTAAAACATAAATTGTTTTTATCCTTCTAATTTATCTGAACATGATATATTATGTCGATTTTCGTTTTATTTTGTTGTTCGATTTTTTGCACTAGTGATATTCGTTTGCATTAATTCTTGTTTGATACAAAATGTATTTGTAATAGCTACTATCAGTGGCGAAACGACCGTAGTCTTTGAGAAGCGATTGCTTCTTGATTTTTTAAGGTTTGGGGGTGGGTGGGTGCCGTGGCTATAATATATAATAGATGCCTATAGCCGGTAATTCGGTGGTTGGGTGGGTAGGTGTTTAAATTGTAAGTTTGCTTATGGGTTATTTTAGGTTCGTTTCGCCACTGGCTACTATTGCGGATTATTTAAGATTCTAAAGATAACTATAACTCAAAAAGCTTGTACTAGTTATTCTAATAATTAAAAATTAAGAAACTACAATTTGCAAGTTATTKTGTTGTTTATTTAATTAAACTTGTGGATACTTTTTATTAACGTGAAAAAAWTTTTTAAGTTTGTTTATAATAATACTTACTGGCTTCAAGGCTATAATTTATAAAAGTTTTGAGCAATATTTTAATTTATAGTAGTAATGGAACCTACCTATTGGAAACAATYAATATAAATAACACATTGTTATTGCTTGTGAGAATGACGTAAGATAAACGATTATTTGCTAAAAACAACACGTTGTATTTACGTCATAAAAATAAATTTTCATTTTTATTACAAATACCTACAAATAAATGTTCTATATTTACATAATAATCATGAGCCAAGTATAATTGAATTTAATGCTTAGTATTTATATTTTTTCTATATTGTACGTGTAAGGAGTTATAAAATATAATTTTAAGTTTTTTGTATAATTTTTAATTTTTTGTACCTATTAAAAATAAGATTGATTTATATTTAGGCGACATTAGTTTGTCGTTGTTTGTTCTTATATTTAAAGTCAAACAATTATATTAGTCTGAATCGTGTGCTTGTTTTTCAGTAYAAAATCACTAGTGTTATGTGTTACTGGGTGGGACAATAAAACGGGATTTTATTTTATTAGTCAACATGTAAAAACAGATAATTTTATAGTGAACACTTGTAGGATATTTAATAGTTAATACTTTGTAGTGTGGTAGTTATGCAACTAATACGATGAARTTTTCATTTATGTAAAATTATTAATATATTTGATCTGAAGTTTTAACATAAGCCCGGARCATAAATAAGTTTTGCTAAATTCAAAATTTATTAAATGAAGCATTATTCAACTAAAAAAAAATATATATATACGWTTTAAAAAATTAAATCATATTAGAATACGTATTTGCTTTCCATTATAAATTACCCTATCCTATTCATGTTTCTCTATAGTTTTATTAGTTATCCTCGGAAAATCATAGTCTCCTTCATCTACTACATATGAGATATAACACATATTTATATCATAAATAATACTTTCTAATATAGAAAATGTATTGCCCATCTTAAGTAAAAAATAATATTGATACATTTTTAGAATTTATAGAATTTAAGTAATGAAATTTTTTTGAAGTTAGGTATATCTTGTCATTTAACATTGAAGTGAAAGCTTCCTCTTTAAAATTTATCTTTCTGATTGTTGTATTATAGACCATGTAAATGGGCCGATCGATCGGTGACTGAGTTTTTTAAGACTTTCTCTCACTTTGTCTTGCACTTATATATGATGTATCATATAAATAAAAAATAGCGTTTCAATCCAAAACATATCTTTAAATTAAAGAATTATCTATACATACTAAAAGTACATATAAATATAGTTTGGTCTTTACGGATATATATTTAATTTTTAAATTTTCTTTTCAAAATTTGTGAAGGTACTGAAGCCAGATTTTTGAAAAAATGTTCGCACTTTTAACTTTGAAATGTAAGATTATAGTTTTCAAATTGAAAATTATTTTTCCTTACGTTTTTGAAAACCACTGAGAATTTATACTAACATAATAGACGTACAAAAGAAAAACACGTTATTGTAATATAAATACATTCTAAGTTGAGAATTTAAAAGTTAGTACGACTTTTCTAGCATTCACTCCGCTCAAATTTTTTTTTTTTAAATTTAAAATACCTAATCTTTAAAACCTGATCTAGTTAAGGAAAAATTTGAATATAATATGATATTTTCGTACATAATTTTTTAAATATCATCAAGACGTGTCAACATTAGTGGTATAGGTACCTACCAACTATATATGTTACCGTTACATATATATTATTACCGTTAAATTATAAAATCCGTTATTTTATAATTTAACACTGCTAGTACTGCTTTAATTTAATGTTTGCACTAAAACTAAATTAATACTATATCTAATAATTTTATAGAATAACTAGTTAGTTGTCTTATACAATCCCCGATTGAGAATAAAGTTTAAATTTGGAAAAAAAAATGCTCATATTAAAAAATCGTCAAGTAGGTAACCACTTTACCGTACCTCATCATTGATTAGGTCACTGTAATGGGTATATTTAGTATGTTACATTTGAATTCAATGTTAAATTATAGTACAAGATGAAAAATGAGTCCGTCTGAATGAGCGAAGACGGTAAAATCCATTTGTTAATGAAGTTTAATAAAATCTTATTTATTTAAATAAAACATGTTCGTATTTGTTTAAATTTATTTTTTTTTGGAAGGCTCTGTAAATTTTTACCTTTGACAAACTTGATTATATTTTTACCAAAAACTACTTCCAAAGTTGAAAATTGAAACATTTATTCCACCGTTAAAAGTATCATTAAATACAAATATAAATAACACATTGTAAAATCAATATATTCATTGCATCGCTCGATGCTAATGCCCGTAACAATATAATAATTATATTTAATATAATTTATTTACGACCTTTTAAAAAATTAAGATAATTTATTAACTGACTTTATTTTAAAGTG